GCGGTGGGAGAGGCTTTTACTGCCGGGTGGCCTGTAAGGAACGAGCGTGGGTGACCAGCATCTGTGCTGAATTAGAGAAAGCTTTTGAATGCCGCGGAGCTAAAGCCCGTGCCGGGTAAGAGCTGGTGTGCCACCACTGAGCTCCCAGCGGGGCCGGCCCCGGGCTCTGCCCGCGCGTCTCCTGGCGTCACCGGAGGCTTGGTGCTGGTGGGCTGGGTGGGAGCCCCGCCGGCGGGGCCGTGCGGCGCCCTCGCGGCGGATGGAGGGCCCCTGCGTGGTTTGCGTGCTGCTCAGCTGAACCCTCAACAAATGCGAACCGTAAAGGTGACCACTGCAGGGTTTTTCTGGCCTCTTGACTCATCCGAATTTCTGCAGCTCTTACAAATTCAGCGGCCCTTCAGCAGTTTTGGGTGTGTTGTAATGGAGCTCCTGAGCCACAAGCGTCTGATCCTTCGGGGTGGGTGGTTTGGGGATGAAGGGAGCTGCTCTTACATAAAAAGGAAGAAGCTGCAGCCTGGTTGTTTTCGTAGCTCCTTTCTCTACACATCCAGGAAGCTTTTTCTTGGAAATCCGATAGTCAAAAAAAAAAAAGCCGGAAAAGGTAACTGCAAGCAGTTCTGATTTGAAGGTGGTGGGACAGCCTGGGGGGAAGAGCTGCAGGGCACGTGGGGACACTCCATGAATGTCAAAAGCCTACGCGAATGACTGCAGTGCTGTGTTTTAAGAAATTCTACTTTAAATGCCTCTGTGAAAAAAAACCTGTACAATGCTGTACTTTTAAAAGCTACAATGCCATACAAATAGGTAACGGCCTGGAGCGTGATCCAAGCGGCTGTGCTGCAACCGGACCAAGCGCAGAGCTTGTGGAGGAGAAACCTGCGCCGTGGTCCTGTGAGCTGAGCCGAAGCGCTAACGTCTGCGGGCCGCTTTGCTGGGTTTCGTGGGCTTCGGAGGGTTGTTAATGGTGGCAGGGCAAACGCTTCAGAGCGTGGCACCCCTGAGCGAAGACCACGGCTCGGGTAGGGTAAGCCGCAGAACAGCAATGTTTAATGAAAACAGCAAAGCGTTTCGTTCAGGATGTTTTTTGTTCTAAGCACGAAACTGCCGGCTGCCTCGCTGCAGACAACTTCATGGTTCGCGTTGTCTTGCGGTGCCTCAGGACATCTCCTGGAGATGACTTGGGTTTATTGGGTTTGGAAGGAAAACTCCTTTCACGTTACAGAGGAAACCACAGCACGTACTTTGTGCTGGATGTGAAAGCGTTGCTGCTGGGGGGAAAGGGAACACGGCCAGCAGCTGCCTCCGCGACGGCGACCCGGCTGGTGTTGAACAGAGATGCGTTAACTGCTGCAGCAGTTAAACAGAAACAACAAGCGAGGAAAAAGAATGGGAAAAGACATTAATTAAGCTTAAAGACACAAATGCAGGTGTTCCACCGAGGCCGTGGCAAGAGTCGGGTCCTCTGGTGCCCTGGCCTCTGCCCGCGTGGGAGCCCGCACAGCCCCTCGTGGAGACAGCTCCGCAGGCAGGTGCGCTCCGGTGCCTGCCCCCTGTACCCCAGATCAGCTTACAGTGTGGGCAGCGGGATGGGCCGTATAATTGTTTTAAAAGAGGCTGCCACAAACCGGACTCTTCCCTATTTTCTGCTGACTTCTAGACACCTTCAGGGATGAGTCTCAACCAGGCTTTTATTCAGGGCCACTTTAGATACAGGAGATAGACAAAAGACCCAATTCCTGGGGAAAACAGAGGCGGGTTAGAAGGAGGTGATGGATGTTTTCTCCTCGGGGAGAGCCTGGGGTTGAGTCCCGGGTGCCCGGCCAGCGGCCGGCCGCCTGCGCTTGCCCCTTTCCCGAGACGCCAAACGCGCTGTGACAGCAGGCTGGCGGCCACCCTGCCTGCTAATGCGGTGGCCAGGGAGGGACCCGCTCCCTCCCGGGGGTGGCCTGGGGTGTATATCTGTATATCTGTATATCACAGAATCATAGAATCGTTTGGGTTGGAAAAGACCTTTAAGATCATCGAGTCCAACCGTTAACCCAGCACTGCCCAGCCCACCACTAACCCATGTCCCTGAGCACTGCATCTCCCCGGATTTAAATACCTCCAGGGACGGGGACTCAGCCCCTGCCCTGGGCAGCCTGCGCCAGCGCCTGACAGCCCTTTCGGTGAAGACATTTTTCCTAATATCCAACCTAAACCGTGTATATATATATATACACACACTCACGTGTATTTTTCTCTATATATTTTTCTCTATTTATATATTTTTTCTCTATTTATATATTTTTATCTAGTTGTATTTTTCATCTATTTATGTATTTTTCTCTATTTGTATTTTCCTCTCTATTTGTATATTATCCTCTATTTGTATATTTTTGTGTATTGTATTGCATATTTTTGTATATTTCTCTCCATATATATATGTTTCTCTCTTTGCATATTTTTCTTGATTTATGTATTTTTCTCTGTTTGTATATTTCCCTCTATTTGTATATTTCCCTCCATATATAGATGTGTTTCTCTATTTGTATATTTTCCTTTATTTGTGTATTTTCCTCTATTTGTATATTTTCCTCTATTTATGCAATTTTCTCTATTTGTATATTTCCCTCTATTTATATATTTCCCTTTATTTGTATATTTTTCTCTGTGTAGATGTTTCTCTATTTGTATATTTTTCTCTAATTCTGTAATTTTCTCTGTTTGTACATTTCCCTCTATTTGTATATTTTTCTCGCTTTAACTGGGTGTTCATCGCCGATTTCACATTTACACAAGCACGGGAGGCCCCGCTCCCCCCCCGCCCCCCGCAGGGCTGAGCCAGCGGGCGGG